AGTTACCATCCCCAAACAGATGGACAAACAGAAAGAGTAAATCAGTGTCTTGAAAATTACATGAGAGCTTTTTGTCACGCCCAACCATCCAAGTGGTCAAAATTTCCGAGTTTGGTCGAGTTCCACTACAACACGTCTTTCCATTCTTCTACTGGCTTCACCCCATACAAGGTTATGTTTGGAAGACCACCATCGAATCTCTTGGCTTACTGCTTAGGTTCGTCCAAGAATGAAGCGGTAGATGCCACTCTCTCACAGCGGATGGCCCTCATGAGCACATTAAAAGAGAACTTGTTTAAGGCTCAACAATCGATGAACGCACAATCAGACAAGAAAAGAAAGGATTGGAGTTTTACCTCTGGCGATTTGATTTTGGTTCGCCTACAACCATACCGACAACTATCCCTTGAGCGCCGGTCATCACAAAAATTAGCCTTGAGGTATTATGGTCCCTTTAAGGTTGAGGGTCGAATCGGTCCAGTAGCATACCGCCTGAAGCTTCCCTCCACAGCCAAGGTCCATTCGGTGTTCCACGTTTCGTTGTTTCGTCCATTTCGTGTCGGACTACCGTTCAAGGTTCATCCTTTACCCATCACAAACTCGGATCAGTCGTTGCAACACACACCTTGTGCACTGGTGGGTGCTAGAACTATTTGGCGACGGGGAGAGCTAGTTCCTCAAGTGCTGGTTCAGTGGACAAACCTTCCTCTTGAAGATTCCACATGGGAGGATAAAGAAGTAATTTTAGCCAACGAGAACGCTGACCTTAAAGGGCGTGAGTACCTTACAGAGGATACTACAAAAGGGCAGGAGAATGGGGTCACTTGCACAGCACAACGACAGAAAGTATCCATTTTTAACAAAAGGAAGGACACGAAAAATGAAAGAGAGGACACTTGCGTTCCTCCACAGCGACGTGAGGTATTACAGGAGGACGAGGTAAAGGTAGTGACAGAGCTTCAAGGCAAGACAACGACAATGGAGACCAGAGAGAGAGTTGAAGAGAAGGAACTTGAGGGCTTCGAAGAGACTGACTTGGTCTCAAACAAAGTCACCCCATCAATCACTATTACTTCCCACCTACCAGAATGAACGCTCCAGATTCCTTCCCCAGTGTCGGCATCATCTGCACCGTCCAGATCATTGGGTGATCTCCAGTTGTCTTCCACGAAAGATAACCATTTAACGGCTTGCAAGCCGTTTCCTATGTCGGCAACGTCTCAACCCTTCCTTTCCACCGTTCCAGTTGCCAATCATGTTACTCCACTGACAACTTTGCAATCCGCCAGCTCATCCATTACGAAGACCCATGTGACAACTGGTCTTGAGGATAAGCCCACACTTGCAGGGGTGGGTGATGTTATGGGCTCCAGCCCATTGGTCCACAAGCGTCCTAGGAGGAAGCTAGCCCAATATCGTGATTATGTTATGGGCTAGTTAAATATAGCTACCTTCGAGTTAATGATGCCTTGCTTTAGTATTAAGACCATTAGTATTTGATGTTGCTTTATTATCAATATGATTTGGATGAAATGTATGAACCATTATAAATAGCCTACTGGCTTAGTTAATACATATGGAGTATTCAGGAAATCCTTTCTCTTTCCCTACTTTTCTCTCTCTCTATCCTCAATCCCTAATCTGTTAAGAACTCTGTTACAGTTATAAATATAATTATCGGCATGTGGTATGATTTATTTACAAAAAAAAAAGTCTGGCTTAGCCTGTTAAAAAAAAATAACACAACAAAAATGATGATAGACCCGGAGGAGGAAGTGAAAATTAGATTGTGTTTTAATAAATGAGTAGTATAAAAAATATAAAATAAAAATAAGAGTTATCAGGCCAGTCTAATAGGTTTTAAGGCTGGGATTTAGAATTGGAGTCTGGGTCTTTTTATAAAATAGTTTTTACACAAATTTAAGGCTATATCTAGCAATCAAAATAGACGAGTCAGGTTAGACTTAAATAAGCCAGGCCAAAGGCCCGTCACTCTTTTAAAACCCCTACGTATAAAAACACTCAGACTAGCAAGCAAATGCAGTTTTATTTATTAAAAAAAATTAATTTATCTTTCTTGAGAAGAAAAATTATATATTAAATTTGTAGAAAAGATATTTACCAAAAAAAAAAAACATTTGTAGAGAAGACAATTTTTGGGTACTTTAGAATCAAATATAAAATCAAGATTAAATTAATTAATTTCTAGGCTATGTATTTTTTGAAAAAATTTAAACCGGTATTTATGAATTAAAAATCATAAATAGGTTTTTATAGTTTATTTTTTATTTTAATTTTAATTTTTAATTGGGCCCATGTAGAGACCTAACCAGTAGATTTAAGGACCTTACTGAAAAGTTTTATGTAACTATAATAATTCGTTTATAGTTTTAAATTATAAAAACTTATTGACGTTTATATATATATATATATATATATATATTCAATTTGCATACTGAGTATAGTTCTACGATTTTAGTTTATAATTGCAATTCAAACACCATCGCATCAAGTAAATATTGTAACTAATTTTACTTAATTTAATTTCATCCATTCTTCTTAAAATTATTATGTCATTAAAAAATTTAATTTTAAGTCATTTTTGCATATAAAATAATTTGTATTATAATCCTATTGTATATTTATTATTATTATTTAAACTTTTGAACAACAAACACATTTGCTTCTTATTTTTTTAATTAATTATTATAATATTGCTGATAAATAATTATGAAATAATATCAAGGTGTCGATGAAGAAAAAATTAAAATAATACTTTGATTGTGATATTATTAAAGGGTATTATACATATCCAGGAAAAATTAGATCTCGCAAATTTTGACGTGGGGCTCACCTGTAGTTAAAAAAATAAAAAGAACTTTTTTTAATACATCTTATATATAAACTTACTTTTACTAAAAAAGGATAATTTTTTTCCCTTTTAATTTTTTTTTTATTTTCCTATATATTAAAAAAAAAATTCTGCATTTAGTTAATGGATATACCGAATTCGATGTATTTATTTAAAAATTTTCCTTCTGCATGCAGGAGCGGTGAGTTGTCCTACAACAGTACAAACTCAAGTATCCAAACTCTTTTTGATATGAACGTTATCAGGAGCGCCATGAATTTTAGAGACAATGTATATCAATCCACAAGAAAGGAAATCTTTGTTCACTCGGTGTTTCCATTTCCAAGTGGGGATAATTGGATGAAACGAGTGACTGATGCAGGAAAGATTGTTTATGTGCGCACATTCACTGATGGGTTGGTAACACTGTCCCGAAATTTTTTTTTGTAAAGATAATTTAGATTAATGCTTTATGTATAAGGTTATGAACTCGTTCATAATCTAATTGCTTCTATGACAAGCTGCAAGCAATAGTTTGAACAATTATTTTTCCCTCTAAATCTTACCAATCATCTTAAACAAATATGAGAATATACTTCAGTACATCCATACATCATCATTCTATTTTATAGTGGTGAATAAAAAAGTCAACACTACCTATATAGGAGGTAAACGAAATCACAGTGAAGGTCTCGTCTTTAGAGATTAACTTATTTGAGAATGTCAGACCTGCAATCAATCCTCTCTTTTTATAAAAATGAAAAAGGAAACAGAGGATGAAGAGAGCATGGAAATGGGTACGTGACAACGGAGGAAGAATAAGTTTTTTCTCTAATCAATTTGCGTTGCTACGTTGTTTTAATCATCTCTGTACGTTGCTAACTAATATAAAAGTAAATACTCTTTTTGGTCCCTAACAAAAAATTCGGTCCCTCACTTTAGTTCTTTACAAAAGAAATTTAGTGACCTGGTCCCTAAAAATTCAAAGTGGACACATTTTAATCTTTTTGAATGACTAATGTGAGTCTTTTTTGAATTTGTGAGGGATCACGATTTTAACTAAATTGATCCACTTTGAATTTCTTAGAAATCTCGAAACTAATTTTTTTATAAGAGAATAAAGTGGGGACTGTATTTTTTATTAAGGACTTGAAAAAATATTTACTTCTAATATAAATATTGAACTAAGTGACAAATAAAAACCTACAACAAAAAGAAAAAAAAAACTAAAATCATAATATTTATGTTCACACTTGTGGACATTTACCTCCACCTGGGTCCACTGAAGCTGAAAGTGAACGGCTCCTGTGCACATGGTGGAAGGAGATAAGTGTTATTGGATAAAAAATATGTGGACAATAATAATATGGGATAACTCAATAATTTTTAGGAACTAATTTAAAGATAAACCTTTTTAAAGAAGTAACGCAATAGCACGCTAAATTTTGAATGAGAAGAAATGAAATGAAGTAAAATAAAATAAAATCACAATATTGTTGTTTAGATGTTTTATAATAAAATAAAATGAATCGATTTATCAAAAAAAATAAAAATAAAATAAAATGAATCAAAGTATAAGTTTTATTGTTCGAGAAGTAAAAAAAAAAAACAATAATAAGAATTAAAATTAGAGAAGAATTTTTATCCTTTTAAATGATATAACTTATATCATTTTATTTCACTAAGAGATGAAACTCATATCTTTATTTTTTTTGTTTATTATGTCTCATTCATGATTTATCTCTTTCTTTCATTTAAAATAATAAATTTTCATCTTTTAAAGTAACACATATTTTAGATGGAGTGATTTATCTTATATTGTCAAAAGTATAAAGCATAAGCCTAATCAAATTTTATTTTATCAGCATTCGTTTCGGGCCTCTCTTCAAATCAATTAGTCATGACTTTATGATGTAAAATTGTATTATTTTAAAGGAAGTAAAGTTGTATCATTTTAAATAAGAGAAAAAGATAGATAAAGAAAGAGAGAATTGACAAAAAAATATAAAGATGTAGATCCTATCTCTTATCTCTTTATGAGAGTGAAATGATATAAAATGTGCTTTCCTTAAAAAAAACCAAGGGTTACAGCTCAGCTCTCACTTGACACTGCTTATAATAATAGAGGAAGCTGATAACACAAGAAAGAGGTGGAACGAGAAAAGAAGCCACAGGAGCAGAACACTTGAAGAGGAGAAGACAGTTTGATCTGAAGAAAATAGTTACGCAACAAAGCTCTTTGGGAGAGAGCGATTTTCTAGGTAAAGTCCTTTTACTTCTAATAGTGCCTTTTTGATTCGGTATTCATAAATATAGCATGAGATTCTATTTCTAAGTTGTTTATGATAACGGGTACAGACGAGTTTCCCATTCGTTAATGATTCTACTTCATGAAATGAGATATATGCTATGAGTCTATGACGCAGGGCAACCAATCAACAAAAAACTAAACCATGCCCAAATGAGTGACAACCCTAATAAATAATAAATAGAAAAAAATGTATGTCATTTTAAACAATACAAGTTGTGTCATTTCATAAATACAAAAATATGCGAGTTGTATTGAAAAAATAAAAAAACAAAAATAAAAATAAAAAGTATGGATCTCATCTATTTATGTCTATGAAATGACACAAATTAAATGACACACATTTTTCCTAATAAATATCATCTTAATCCTGTACAACTGTCAAACTTAATCCATGACCATCCATGCTAGATCCACTATTAATGAGAAAAAACGTTGGCAACAAAGAGATATTCTTTTCGACCAATGGATCACCACTCGATCAATTGATAAGATATTGTTCCGGCTTAACCAGTAGTCCCGAGAGTTCGAGTCCCTGGGAACCGTTGTAGTTCTACCTGATGAATTGAACTAGTTGATTCATGGACCAACTAATGGATAATATAAAAAAAAATAGACATTTTTTTTTCCCAATAGCAAACAACATAATTTCAAAATTAGGATATGAGAAAAAGACTATGTTAGGTATTTATTAGAATTTATTTATATTGTTATCAATTAAAATTAATATTAATTATGTTATAAGTACCCAAATTACTAGAATTCCTTATTTTATGATTCCTATTTAAAGTTGATAGAGATCTTTTCTTTGTCTTTTGTATCACATCTAATTCGTAGCATGAAATATTTATATTTTTTATTTGTTATCGTTGTTTTGTTGTTTCTCCTTCCTTTTTTCGAAATTGTGTGTTATATCACTTTAAATGATTTTTTTTTTTTTTTAGAAAAATATGAAATATGCTTCTAAAAACAAAGGGTTTATTTGATAATATATAGATACCTCAGTGATTTAATATTTTGTCATAAGTATTTGTTTAATTTTAGGGTGATTTTTTTCTTTCTGAATTTTCTTAGTTATCTTATTTTTACTGTGACATAGATCGATTTACGAGTACATCCTTAAAATAAAACTATGCTAGTGATTCAATGTTTTGACATGCATCTTTTGATTGAGTCGATTATGTGTGTGTGAAGTGTCGTTTGATACTTGCGTGTCTTATGTCATAATCTACCTCAATCAAAAGCTTGATCGCCCATTAAAAAATAATAAATAATTGATTTTAAATTAATTGGTTCGATGCACTCAGTTGCCCATGATATTAATTTTAGGACAAAACATAGATTAAGTTCGTTAAGGGTTTGTGGAGTTATTTTTCAATAAAAATATAACATGTATTAGTTTTAGATATAGCTATTTTAGAGTGAGCTTTATTTTAAAGTAATTAAATAAGGATATATATCCCTTTATTTAGTTGTACAGTGTTTCTTGATCTTAACCTATTAATATTTATTACTGAATACATCATTATTTACACACGGTGAAAAGGAGCCCCAGCCCTTCTTTCAAAACTTCTTTGTTATCTCAATTTCTTTTCTAAAATTTTATCAAGTGAAGGCTGCACTTTAAAAGAAAAGATGCACAATTACCACGGTTAAAAATTAGGAGAATTTATTTTAATATCTTCATATAATTTATAATATATATACATGTATTTTATCACAAATTTAGCCATTAAAATTTTTAATTAACGGTTATAATTTCACACTTTTTCTTCTAAAATGTTTTCTTTATTTTAGAGGAGCTAAATTCAAAAACTATTACCCATATTAAGTTTTGATCCAAAAATAATACATTTTTATTTTTGTCCTTAGTGTTATGTGTTTTGTGTTATGGTCAACTTTGAACTTATTAGTTAGAAATTCATAACTGTCTTTAAAACAAACATAATTTGGGTTAACTTTTCGCTCTCATCAAATTCTGAAATCTAAATTTCGTTTAAAACACAAATTCTATGTTAAGAAAAGATTTTCTAATTATTTTTAAAGTACAAATAAAAATGTATAATTACTTTTAAATTTTATTTTTATACAAACCAGGCTAATCCAATTTGAGCATTGTTGGACCCATTTTCTCCAATATTCTAGATTCTTTAACTTCTAAGTTCTAATACAAGGCCGTGTTGTTTTATATGCTTATATTATTGTAATGAGCAAATGTGAAAATTATAACTTGACTCTCTTTTTTATCCTTCTTTGTTTTTGCATTTTTTTAAAGTGATTCAATTATTAACAATTGTTTGAGATGTAGAACAAAGCCATGGAGATAGCAGGAAAACTTTGGGATGCTGCTATTTGTTTGTGCAATTGTGGTATAAACCACGCTGCCTATATTTTTAAGTTGGAGAAGAATCTTGAATCATTAAAAAAAAAGGCAGAGGATCTTAAAAGCACTAGAATAGATGTCCTTAAAAGAATTGAGGACGCTGAGGGCACGGATGAGATGCAAAGGACAAGTGAAGTGAATCGTTGGCTCGAAAAAGTTGAACATCTTCAGAAGGTAAACTTCCATTCATAAATGCTGATCATCGAATTTTTTACTTATTAAATCATCTAAGGGCATTTACTATAATCTTTTTCAGTAGTCCTTTTATTATTTTCTAGTTTCATAAACATAAAAAACTTAAAGTAAAGTATATATATATATATATATATATATATATCTATATATAGAGGTAGGATCCTTTGACACCAGTGTCAAAATTCAAATTTGACACCTCACCTGAGAATCATTAGATCAAAAAAGATCAACGTCTATGATTTGCAAGCATGTGACACCGTTGATCTTTTTTGATCTAATGACTCTCAAGTGAGGTGTCAAATTTGAATTTTGACACTGGTGTCAAAGGATCCTGCTTCATATATATATATATATATATATATATATATATATATATATATTTATATATATAAGAAGTAGGATCATTTGACACCAGTGTCAAATTTGAAATTTGACACCTCATCTGATAGCCATTAGATCAAAAAAGATTAATGGGGTCACATGCTTAAAAATCATAGTCATTAATCTTTTTGATCTAATGACTCTCAGATGAGGTGTCAAATTTCAAATTTGACACTAGTGTCAAAAGATCCTACCTATATATATATATACACACACTAGTTTCAGAACTTTTAAAATGCATATAGAAAAGTAACTAAGTAAGAAGGTTATACATATAACCTATCTTTGTTTACAACTTCTTACGATAATATCTTAACTGTTGATTTCCGTCAATTAACCGTTATCATTTATTGTGAGTTATTCATTATATTTTAAATTGACACATATTTATGAAGTCTCACTATATATACACTGCTAACAGGAAAGAGAAGATATTGAAGATCAAGCTTCTCGAGAAATTGATAATAAATGTATAGGTAGTTTTTGCCCAAAGAATAGTGTATCAAGCTACAAGTTAGGAAGGAAAGTTGTGGACCTGCTCAAGGAGGTGGATGAACTATTGAACTCGGGAAAACATTTTGTTGACAAGAATATTGATATTGCTTACAAGCTACCACCTAGGCTAGTGGAAGAGATGCCTTCTGTTGAGACTGTAGGATTGGATGTGATGTTCAACAAAGTCTGGAGTGCTATTGAAGATGAAAATCTAGACGTGATTGGTTTATATGGAATGGGTGGGGCTGGAAAAACCACCCTTATGAACAAAATTCATAGTGAATTTGGAAAGAGAAGGCACAATTTTGATCTAGTGTTGTGGGTGGTGGTTTCTAAAGAATGTGATATCAATAAAATTATGAATGATATTCGAAAGAGGTTGGGGATCAATGATGATGTTTGGAACAACATTAGCCAAGTACATGAAAGAGTGACAAAGATTTATCGAGTCCTGAAACAAAAGAAGTTTGTGCTAATGTTAGACGATATATGGGGAAAGTTGGAACTAGAAAATGTGGGTGTTCCACTCCCTAAGGATACTAAGAATCAATCAAAAGTGTTGTTCACAACTCGATCTGAGGATGTGTGTGCTAGAATGCAAGCACAGAAGAAATTCAAAGTGGAATGTTTATCAGAGAAAGAAGCATTTGATTTGTTTTGCAAAAAAGTAGGGGAAGAGACTTTAAATTGTCATAGTGAAATTCCAGAGCTTGCAAAGGATATGGTTAAAGAATGTGGAGGATTACCACTAGCACTCATTACAGTGGGAAGTGCCATGGCAGGAGTGGATAGCGTTGAATCATGGAGGCAAGCCATAGGTGATTTAACAAGTTCTTCTTGGATAGGTCCTGATTTGGAGAAGAAAGTGTTTTGTGTCCTCAAGTTTAGCTATGAAAGACTGCCAGACGAAACACACAAAAATTGTTTTCGATACTGTGCATTATACCCAGAAGATTATGAAGTCAGCGTTGATGATCTTATTGATCGATGGATCGCAGAGGGATTTCTTGGTAAAGGTAAGGCTAAAAAGGGTATATATGATATGTATGAGGAAGGGAAAGATATCATTGCAAGATTAAAGCTTTCATGTCTGTTAGAGGGTATTGAAGATTATGATACATGGTGGTTTGCGATTAAGATGCATGATATGATCCGAGATATGGCTATATGGTTAGCCCGTGATGAAGATGGGAACGAAGACAAAGTTGTAGTTCAGGGGGAAGTATTAGCCATGTCAGAAGTCGATCCCGAAAGGTTGAATGTTGTGGAAAGGATTTCAATTATAGATGGAAGTGGAAGTGGAAGTGGAAGTTGGAAAGTACCAGCTTGTCCAAATCTGCTCACAATGTGCGTACGGGGTAATGTGGAGGTCACTGATTATTCAAATCTTGAATCCATGACAAGGTTGAAAGTTTTAGACATAGAACATCAACATCTCCCTATAGAAATAGGCAAGTTAATCAACTTGGAATTCCTCTATCTGTCAGATATAAGAACAAGAGATATGTGGACAATTGATTTGAAGAATTTGAAAAAGCTGAGATTCTTGCTTGTGCAATATGCCAGACCTGGAATAATTTTGGAAGGGATAGAAAGTCTTGAGCAATTAAAGGTGTGTAGGCTACTTTTCACTCTTGGAAGGGGAAGTGCCGGAAATGAGGAAGCAATCCTAGAGAAGTTGGAGTGCTTACCAAAATTAGAGGAATTGTGCATCAGATTAACTAGCATTACTGGCATCCGTAAATTACTTGAGTCGATCAAATTGGGGAATTGCTTAAGACACTTTCTGATTAATGGAAGCAGGGAACCACTTGAAATTGAAATGACATCAATATTAGCATCTTTGTCAAGAATGAAGCATCTGGACCATATAGTTTTACGGCATGTGGAAAACATTACGGAAGGTTCATACATTGCTAACACTTGCCGTCTTTGCAACCTTCGTAGGGTGGAAATTTCAATGTGTGGTTCAATAACTCATTTGACATGGCTGAGGTATGCTCCACTTCTTGAGTTTCTTTGGGTTGACGATTGTGATTCAATTGAAGAAGTGGTAAAGGAAGCCAAAGATGATAGAGACACCGCTAATGATGTATTCCAAAGTCTTAGACATCTCTCTCTTACTTGTTTGTCAAAACTGAATAGCATCCATAAGAGAGCATTGGCTTTTCCTTTCTTGAAATTGATTTATATTGAGGACTGTCCAAATCTGAGGAAGCTTCCTTTGAATTCCAACTCTGCCAAGGACAGCTTGATTGCAATTGAAGCACGTACATCCTGGTGGAGAAATTTAGAGTGGGAAGACGTAGCTGTTAAAGACCTATTCCAATCAAAACTTCGATCTATGGTACAAATTTTAAGCTACTTGTAATTTGTATTAAGTGTTAGTCTTAATTTCTACTTAATCTAGTGATAATTCTCCTATATTTTCTGGGCTAAATTTGGTCAAAATGCAGGTAAAACTTGGGCCAAACCTAAAGGAGTAAGCCCAAGTTGGTAAAATGGAGTAAAAAAAGGGCAATTTAAATTTTCATTAATTATTTTCATTTTTTACTGACACATGGCAGATAAAAGAAGATGAGATGGCAATATGAGAACCATTAGATGCTTGTTTGATCCAAGGGAAAGCAGCTACTTGAAGCTTTAGTTTTAAAAATAGAGTCTTTGTTTTTTTAAGAAGGGGAGAACGCAAAATTTAGTTGAACTCAGTTTTTTTCGTTGTAATCAGTTTTTACATTTTTTTTGGAGCGCGTTAGTTTTCTTTGTAAGTTCTTGGAGATACATTCACAAGAAAGAACTTCATCCTTGAAGGGATTCAAGAGAAGGGATATTCGCGTGCAGCTTTTGGATTTACTGTGGTTAAGCATTTCTTTGTTGTAGCAACTTGAATTTGAAGAAGAGATTGGTCTGTTACCTTCTACTCTTACTGTTTTTGGTATTTGTGAATGAAAAATATGTTTACTGTTATGTTGAGTTTCATTTTTGCTTTAATCTTCAACATGCATTGCTAATTTAATTTTCTAGAATTGTGATGAAGATGATAAGTACTCAAAAATTGATTCTAAACTGTTGTGCATGTTCTTGATGTTTGATTAATTGAATTTTCTTGATTTAAGTTCCATTTGATGTTTTATTAATTGAATTTTCTTGGTTTAAGTTCCATGGGAATAGATTTGAAGATTATCATTGATTTTTATAATATCCAAGAATTCAAGTATCAACCAATCTTAAGTTTTCCATGGGAATGAGTTTAAAGATTATCATTGATTTTTACGTGTTCTTACTATTCTTGATATAGTTTACATTTTAGAAAAAATACATGCTTTAAGCAATTACATTCATCTTCAAAAAAACTAAAAAAATAATAAATGAAAGAAATTAAATTTTCTGTTCCCAGATAACGATACTTGAATTCTTTTTGAATTCTATACTTTTTAAAATTACCAGATTACATTAAAAACTTAATATTGGTTTCTCTTAAACTAATCTCTCACGGTTTTATGATTCATGCTTTTATGTGCCCGTTTGGATTGAAGTTGTGACTTCCTTTATTTCTAGATTTATAATGATCATATGGTTGTACTTTTTACAATATTCTACAACTATATTTTAATTATTGATTTTTGTCAATCAAGATTATTATTTATTCCGAATTAAAAATTAATTAATGGAATTGATTTGTGAAAATAATAACCGTTGATTGACAGAAATCAATGATTAAAATATAGTTAAAAAATATTATAAATAAAAATAAGTTATAAGTATAATTTTCCTTATTTACTTTTTAATATTTCATTATAGCATTGTGAGCAACGAATATCATGTCACTCGAGATAATGTGCCTTATGCGAACAGACAAATATGTGGAGCCTATAATATTTAGAAAAAAAAAATGGTACAAGAATCGATGAGTGGGAAGGAGAAGCTTTTTTTTTTTCCAACAACATGAGACTTACGTTTTAAAAGTAAGTCTTTATAATGTTTCAAAAGTAGCAGATCATGTGAATTCTGGAAACATAATAACTGAGTTATTTATTTAACTAAGGGTTTAATTTTTAAAAAAAAAAAATTCTATGTCACACTCGCATAAAAATTAATTGATCTTATTATAAAAAGAAAAGACTGAAAAAATAAACGAAATCCGCATATTTTTATGTGAATCTCTCAGAATTTTTTTTTTACAACAATACATTTTTCCCTTTAAACAACTATAAAACTTTATTTTGTTTATTTTTATTCACCTTAATAAATAAAATATCTTTTGAATTTTCAACAAAAATTACGGGACTCATTTTAATTCTTTAGAAAAAGATAAAAGTAATTTATAGTTCATCTGAAATTCAAAATAAATTCAGTTAATTGAAATCGTGATCCTCTAAAATTCAAAGAAGATTTACGTTAATTTCTAAAAAAGAATTAATATAAATCTATTTTGAATTTAAAAGAAAATATAAATAGACTTTTTTTTTTCTAGGACATTAAATTGGGCCCAATAATTACTGTTTTTAATTAACTAAATTTTTATAAACTAAAGAGAGTATTTTGTCAAGAAGGATTGCTATTTGCTACCCTTTTCCTTCAAACTTGCAAGAACTTCGGTGCAACTCAACTTGTGAGTCACAGCCTGTGGTTTCTGAACAAGAGAGGTAACAAAATGCAGGTATTCCCAATATCTTCAAAACGCTCTCTTCATGTTTCTATGCACGGGTTCGATTCCAAAGTTAATGCTGTGATACCATTTGTTTTTTCTTTTATCGAAGATGCAATATAAGTGAATTACAATCAAAGTTTTGAAATTTCGTAATCGAAATTAATTATGTGAAGGATTTGTGCAGGCCAGTGATCGCTTTAACATCAATTCTCAACTTGAGCATCTCCAAGCCAAATATGTTGGAACTGGCCACGCCGATTTGAACAGATTGTGGGTCTCTCTCTCTCTCTCTCTCTCTCTAATTTTTTTAATTTTTTTTTTTTTTAGAATTTATTTATTACCCTTTTTGTTCTTATTTGTGTGCAGTGAGTGGGCAATGAACATTCAGCGTGATAGCTATGCATCATATATTGGGCACTACCCTTTACTCGCATACTTTGCTGTTGCAGAAAATGAATCTATTGGAAGAGAACGCTACAGCTTTATGCAGGTTCGTTCTCTTTTTTGCCCCTTCACTCAACTTATTAATTTCAGCTTCAATTTTTATTCTTTTTTTTTTTTGGTCCCCTTTTTATAATAAGAATGTACAGAGTATGATTTGGTGTGTGTTTGTTGCTGCAATTTGGCTTGTTAGTTCTATTGTCCTTTTTTCAGCCTTTTGACATTAAATTAAGTCTTTATCTCATATCCATTAGTTTGTTTCACTGTTATTTTAGTGAGATATATTGCGGCCAAATAGGTTGTGTTAATCACTGTTGTTCTCGTTCTGTTTATTTGGGAGATGAACTTTGTCATCTTACTTCAATCCCTTTATTTATTTGTTTATTTTCTGATTACTCTATTTCTGTTCTTTTTAGGAGGACTAGTCCTTTTATTTTTATGTGATATTCCATTTGTGTATGCGCATAGTTTAACATAGGTCCCGAGTTCTATGCACTAAAGAAGTGCATGTTGCTAGCTTGTTATTTTGTTTTTATTTCTCTTTGATAGGAGACAGGAACTCAAATATACTTGAACTTATAGAGTATGTTGAGTAGAAGCTGTTTGTTTTCCCCTCTTTCTTTTTTGCCTGGAGTTATTCCATAGATGAACTAAAGGGAACATGTAGTTGAAATGATAGCGGTGAAGAGAAAGGACATGTATGTGGTTTGTGCCTTTTAAAAAATTTAATTGTGAGGAGATAAAAATAGGGATGTTCAGCGGCTAGATGGTTAGAACTTGCTCTCATGGAGCTTATACCAGTTTTTTTAGCAGTTTTTGAAGGAAACAATAACTTCTTCATGCCAAAACATTGATGCTGTTAGATCTATGTCAATAAGCATGATCGTTTATGATGTTGAAGAAATTTTCCTTTCTATAGAAAGTAATTTGATTAGGTTAAGATTCTTGAAGTTTGGCATGAGATTTAGCAATAGGGATGCATAATGGGTTCCTACACACATCAACTCATAGTAGGTTGATTTTCTCTTATTGATTACATGCTTACTACATTTTGATCTAGTTTTACTTACCCTTTTCCTTTGTATTTATGCATGTTGATAATTGATTGTTTCTTGCATGCAGTGGTTTATATATATATATATATATATATATACGTTTTCTTTTTGGTTTTTTTTTTTTTGTGGGGGGGGGGGGGGGGTCGGCGATAATGATGGAAAAGGAAAGGGAGGAATATGTAGTTTTCATGTTTGAGAGTTTTAGAAGGGAATAGAGGGGCAGGGAATAACTGCCGGGAAAGCTCTATCAAGAGTCCTTACTTTTCCCACCTCAATTTGGGAATTTTTTTGAATGTTTTCTTCTAATTCTTTAGATAAAATAAAAAAAAGAACACATAAGAAAATTCATCTGCTAAGCAAAGCTAGCTGATCTCTTTGCATATCTGACAAAGAAACCACTTTGTATTAGCCTATGTTTGAGCTCCATAAAGAGGCTAAGAAAATCAGTTATTAACTTTATCTAATAGAAGATGAAGCAGCAAAAATTTGTGTTAAAATTTCTGGCATTCCTTTCTAACTAGGAGCACCAAGCTACAGCATACACTGTACACCTTCAAACACTCTGGACAGATCCTATATTCTTAAAAATTACTGAGTCTATACCACAATTATCTAGCAGCTGAGCAATGTGAAATTAAATTGATGCTAGCCTTGCAATTGGAGAAACAGCATAAGAAAAACATTAGGGTAGAGAGCTTTGCGTGGTCTGTGAATCTCCAACTACATTTGTATTAATCCTTTTAATTAGTGCAGTCAAATTCAAAATAAAACATTTCACATAGAGGGGACCTTGGACTTCCAAAAAGAATTAGCAATTGTCCTTGTTGGGAGAATAAAGAACTGAAATTAGGATTTGCATGGAAAACACTCCAGAGGATTCAAGAGTCAATATCCTTTTATCTTCTGAAGAAGAACACAAGAGTCAAGCAAACCATGAAAAGATTCTAGTTCCAGAGCTTCTCTATCATAGGTTTTGGGGAAAATGGAAATTCCAAGAAATGGAAAACTCCTGCCAAGGGTTGGAGCTGCTAAACAGATGGTGGTACAGAGATCATAAATGATAAAGGAGGGTATAGGAATATAGAAAGGTTATCCCCATCTTCTCCCAAAAACTTGGAAGTTAGGAAGAGACCTATTGTCAAGCTCTCTCTCTCTTTTCTTTTTCTTTTGATTCCTTTCGCTTTTCCTTTCAGCTCCCAAACAAATGCAAATTCTTTTCCTCTTCCTGCTTTCGCTTTTCCTGACCATGTAGCATTTCTTCCTATTTCACTTGAAGTTCTCAAGGAAATTGGTTAGACTGTAGTATTTTAGGAAGAGTAGTTATTGTTTTACCCTACTCTTATTTATTTTCTTTGGTCTTGCTAGCCTCGTCTTTTTCTGTCAAATTGTTTTCAACTCATCAGTCATCACTAATTACTCTGCTTGTCAAGATTTGTAGTTTCTGTGAGAGTACAAATGCGTCTTTTCACTTCATCTTTTTTGGTTTGCAAATTTTATATGTGTATATATATATATATGGGGTTCGCATTCATCATTTAACATGACACAAAAAAGTATCCTACACACACAACATTTTGTGGGGCCCACACTTTTTGAAGCACAAAAAAAAAAAAAAAACTACGGCACGCAAAACGAATCTCTATAACATTACACAATCACTTTTCTTACAACATAACTCTTATAAAACTCTCTCTCTCTCTCTCTCTATATATATATATATATATATATATATATATATATATATATCTATATATATATATATATATATATATATCGAGACAGACAGACAGAAAGAGATGTGTACTTCGAAATCGGCTTGGTTTGAGATGACAGATGCCTTTCAATTTTTCGAGTTGAGCTTTTTCCTAATGTATACATCTGTTTAACTCAGTTGAATCTGTACACTGTTCTGTACCTGCAAGATTTTATTAAAATGTGATCTGATATTGCTCTTTATGACAAATTTTTATGGGTTGAGCCATAGTATCTTTCCATTCTTTTGGGAGAAAATGAACTTCAAGAAGAATTATTATTTTACATTAAACTAATGTATTAAAATATCAAGAGCATACTTGATACTCCTTGATCTCACCTAATATTCACTATGCAGTTCCGAAAAAATAGCACTTTGATATCTGATTGTAGCATTTTTTTCAAGGTATCCTTATTTAGGAGCATCATATGAAGTTGCTTAGTGCTTGATCTTACTAAATAATATGAGCTATTGGATAGCGGCTAATTTGTCTACAGGCTGTTACATTTCTTATTTGACAAATTCTACCCTTTTTTGCAGAAAATGCTCCTGCCTTGTGGTCTGCCTCCCGAAAGAGAAGAAGATTAAGAATCACCATCTGGATTATAAATGGATCATCGCAGCACATTTATAGTCTTTTGACAGTTTGTTATACTGTGTTATTTGATTGAGGAAAAAGATGGCTGTGTGACCTTCATTAGAGATTGCTGCATCTTCCTTCTTTAGCTTGTCGATGCTTAAAAGCTTTAGTTGTTATGGAACTTGGAAAATTAGGCCACGAGATGACTGAGTTAAGCTTTCTTTACGTTGTCTTTGTCTTTCTTAAATGATGGCCCTTTAAAGTTGAATGAGCATACATGTGATTCTCCCTTGTACGCCTAGGATTCACCATTCATTTGAGTTGATCAGACTCATTATTCAGTAATCTAATATGCATCATTTGTGACAATATCATAGGCTATGTTAAACTATCCCAAAGGCACAACTATTATAAGACCTTCTACAATAAGGTCTCCTAGACGTTGTGCCCTGATACCACCAAATGTGTCGCACTTATTTGAAAAGAAAAAAGGTTACATTGACTGCTTAGACGTGATTAATTTTTTTTTTATTTTTACCTCTTGTGCCTCTTCTTGGTAGGTAAAAATGGTTGTGTCCTTTTTGTTTTGTAATTATTTTCTCAATTCAACTAATGGATCGCGGGAACATACACTTTGAATTTGAAAGAAAAGTGTTCGAAAATATAGTTATTTTGAGTAGAGGGAGAAATGCATTGGAGTATCGCTGTGTAACATGAATCCAAACTTATAATAATGTTCACATCTTAACAAAAAGGGTTTATCATCTAGCATTTAACATGACCACAAAAATTTTCCTACACACATAACATTTTGTGGGGTCCGCAGCAAAAAATAAAATAAAATTCTGGCACGCAAAATGAATCTCTATAACATAACACATTCACTTTTCCTACAACATAACTCTTATAAAACCCTAACAAAAATAACTTATTTGTGGATATTATTAGGAAGGTTATACAAGTACGGTGTGTGCCATAGATTAGAGTAATATACAACAAATGACTTTAATATTTGATTTTATTAGTGTAAAAAAATTATGTTATTATTTAATCATACATTGTCACATTATTAAAAATATTTAACTCTCACAACAAACACCTCAAAAGTCACACGTGAGGATGTATGACTGTAAAAAAAAAAAAAAGTCTACTAAACTCAGCAATGACTGTTATGTTGTGTTAAAAATTAAAAAATTAAAAAAATGCTATGATATTATGATTGTATAAAGTTTAACTTTGATGTATAATTTTTTTATAACTATTATTCAATAATGTGTTGCTATATTATTTAATTTTCAACTCAATAAATGATGTGACCATACATAATTGAATGGTAATGTAAAACTTTTTTTAGTGATAATGTATCAAATCAAATTTAATTGTATATAATAAAATAAGTATATCATTTAGGTTAATGAGGATGAAGCAAGGCAGCAAGTATTTTAGAGGAACATCCTTTTTGTTATTTTTGTTATTTATGTTTTCAAATATATAGTGGTTTTAGAAGAACAATGAATTATAATGACGCTTAAAGCATGAGATAAACTGGGAAACAATGGAGACGAATAAATTAAGGAGTAATTATACTATCCTCTTCTGAGATTAGCACTTATATTACCCTGACATTGTTCTTGTTTGTAAAATTACACTAATATTATTTACTTTATGCAGTGCTCTTACACTCCCAATTTTTTTGTTTTGTTTGAATTGCTGCTCATACTTCATTTTCTTTATCTACGGACCAACACAAACTCTCCTTAAAAACAACAAAGTAAAAAAAGACAAGTGTTAATTACCAAAAAAAAAAAAAACGGACAAGTGTTATTTTTTAAAACGAGAAAAGTGTCAGTATAACAAGCATTAACCTTAAATGAGGTTAGTGTAATTTTCAGAAATCAATAGATAAGACATAGATTTTAAAAGAAAAGGAAAAAAATATATTTAAAAGATATTAACGCACTTTGAAATATTTAAAAACGAAAAACTAAAGAAAATGAAAAATAAAAAATAAAAAATAAAAAATAAGTAAGAAAAATATGTAAGAGATCTATGAAAATGAAACAAAAGATAAGGAGTATAAAATTGTATTTTTATTAATTTATTATTATTTTTAACATTATAAATAAAAAATTTATTTAGAAATAAAACTATAAAAATACAAAATTATTAAAAGGGTGTTTTTCCTTTGGTGTTAACAAGGGTGATTTATCATTTATCAGTAACATAAGATATTTGAGCGTAGGAGGAGAGGGAAGAGATAGATAAAGAAGATGGCTTCGACTATGACTTCTTCTACTTCGTGTCTTGCATCTTTCTTTGTTTCTTCTTCCCGTATTTCTTTGCTTCCTTCTTTATGCTTTTCGCAGAGCCATTCAAACTCAACTTCATTTCCTTCTGCAAATGTAAAGGTTGTAACTTTACCGTTTACATCCAGAGAACGGCTCATTACCAGAGTCACTGAGTACAAATTCCCTGACCCAATTCCTGAATTTGCAGATGCTGTGAGTTTTCTGTTCAATTTTTTGGTTCCATCAGATTATGAAGTCATAAAGTTTATTCCTTTTATTTTTTTTGTGGGTTTCAGGAGACAGAAAAATTCAAAAACCACCTTCTTACGAAGCTTTCAAAGAAAGATATTTATGGAGAATCACTTGAAGAAGTTGTAGGAGTTTGCACAGAGGTGGGTTTCCCGTTGATTTGGTTGCCCACACGTTTTTTTTTTTTGTTGTTGTTGTTGCTGGGTTCTGCTCTTTGTTGAGTTGAGTAATAAATTTTGTTTCCACTTGGGGTCCATTTGATTTTATCTTAATTTCTTAATTTCGATCTTAGGAAAGATCTCATGTTTGAGGGTTCTCCTCTACATGAGACTATGATGAATATAGGGAGTGGGAATAAGGTTAATGATTATTTGATTATAGTACATAAGTCTGATTCATCAGCATGCTAAACTTTCATTTAAAGCATCCCTTGTCCCCTTGCTCTGTATGTGTTTGCATTGATGTTTTCTGGTTTAGTTCGTGGCTTTTCTGGTCTTTGTCACTGATGATGATGGGAAATAATATCTTCACATGTGAAATAAGGTCCCGTAGAACTTATTGAATTTGGAAGAGATTTTTGTGTTAGAGAAAACTATTATTACAACAAAAGAATTCATGAGGCTCAATACCTAATAATATGAGATGGGGATACCACAGGGTTGGTTGTATATTTAGTTTAGGTCAATATCACCTTTATACCAAACTAGTTATGTGTTAGTTTAGTTTGCAAAAATTCGCAGCTTGCATTTATTTCATCCGTAGGCATTATGAGATTGTAAAGTTCTACAAACTGAGTTAACATCTTGTACAAAAGTGAATGAAACTAGAAGTTAACAATATGAGGATTTGTCTGTGTATGATATCAATATTTCCATATTTTAGTCATTGGAAGGGTCCATTTAGAATCTATCTTTCATATTATTGGAAGGGGAACCTTGACACAATATCTGGTGTTGTTGTCATGTGAACCCGAGGTCTCAGGTTCGATTCATGTAATAAGTCTCTTGCAAATGCAAAGTAAAGCTGTCTATTATAGACCTAACCTACCCAATGGGTCTTTCAACTTTGATAGTTTGATTGTGTTACAAAACATTTCAAATGCAAACTAGATGCAGCCTATCTCATTACCTTTTGTTGGCATAAATTGATTCTGTTCATTGTTTGATTTCCTAAGGTAGTTTGTTCTATGAGGATTTTCTTTGTACACCAATGTTATTTCTTGAGCTTGAGTATACTAGTGAAATATGTGGCTGTTGATTCTATCGTTATACATTGAATTGAACAGATTTTTAGCACTTTCTTAAATTCCGAATATGGAGGACCTGGTACACTCTTGGTCACTCCTTTCATTGATATGAATGATGCTTTAAATGAAAGGGGATTGCCCGGAGGGCCACAAGCTGCACGTGCTGCTGTCAAATGGGCTACAGATCACGTTGACAAGGATTGGAAAGAATGGACTGGTGGTGATAGCAAGTAATAGTGTACCTCTTATTGTATGTTAATCACTTAGTTCTCTAACAACTTGTGTTGGTTGCTTATGTTGTAAGAGCTAAATGAGCAGTTTTGATATTTATTATTATCTCTTAAGATGGACAAGAAAATGGGTAGATAGTAAGTTCAGAAAGATTGTTGAGAAAAATAATTATTTGCTTATTCTGAGATCATGGAGCTTGAAGCATTTGGTATATTTTTTATCCAGTATTGTCTGTTTTACTTTCAAAATCAATTTTCAAACCCTGTGCTGTGCTGTTTCAAGTGGCTAGGCTACATGAAGGAAAGACTTGATGTTGTGGACTGGAAGCAGAGGGGAAGAACATGATACTTCTTTCCCATCCTATTTTAACATTTTAAAGTGGGAACGGTTATATTTACAAATTCAACTTATGTACTATGGGTAGTACATGGATTCAAAAGTGTGCTACCCATCATAGTACATAGTTGAATTTGAAAGTGTATGTAAACAAAAAATTTGTAAATATAATTTTTTCCTTTTAAAGTTGCAAGATTTGTTCCTAAATTTTTAGACTAGATAAGTTGAACTAACATTACTAAGAAATAGCTTAGGTAGGCATCATCTAGAGTTTCGGTATTTGACATTATAACACATTCAATAACATCAGGGTTATGTAATTCAGAAAGGTTTGATACAATTAGATTGCAGATTCAAGATTGCATGAAAAGAATGGCACAATGGCAAAAATACACTATATAAACAAAAATGTTATAAATATAACTTTTTCCTTTTTAAAGTTGCACTACTTATTCCTAAATATTGAGACTACATAAGTTGAACTAACATTACAAAGAAATAGCTTAGGTAAGCATGTTTCGGTATTTGACATTATAACACGTTCAATAGCATCAGGGTTATATAATTCAGAAAGGTTTGATCCAATTAAATTGCAGATTCAAGATTACATGAAAAGAATGGCACAATGGCAAAATTATAATTGAAAAAAATGTCTTTATGAGTACTGAAGCGCTAGAGGAAGGGGTTGAACCTTCGACCTTGTGGTTAACAGCCACACGCTCTAACCAACTGAGCTACTCCAGCAACTGGTCCCAATGTTAATTTGGTTGCTATTCATTATTAATTTCATTGTAAATGTTATAAAGGTACAATTCACGTTAACTCCCAACCCCAGTTATTAATTTAATTAATATTAATCTCACGACTAGACTATTTCTTTAGCCAGTAATACCTATGAAATTTCTAGGCACCTAAATTATTCTGAGTGTGACATTGATAGAGAAAACAAAACCATTTTTTTGTTTTTCAACAAAATATTAATATGGCTGCATCCAGTGACGGAGCCACGTATGGTTTGGGTGTGGCCTTGGCCCAGGTTAAATTTTAATAAATTGTATTTAAAAAAAGTTATACTTACAATTTTTTTTTTTACAACTTCTTATAACCATATCTTAACACCGTTGATTTCCGTCAATCAACGGTTATTATTTTCGCAAATTAAACTCATTAATTAATTATTAATTCACAATAAATGATAACTGTTGATTGACGGAAATCAACGGTGTTAAGATATGGTTGTAAGAGATTGTAAAAAAAAGTTGTAAGTATAACCTTCCTCTTGTATTATTGTATATAATTATATAATTAATTATAATTTGATCCGGATTAAAATTATAATTTGACCGGAGCTACAATTTGTAATTTGGCCTTATCTAAAATTTAAAATATTTTTGATAAAAGATTTGGGTAAGTTGTATTAGGTTATGTATTTAATTTTTATTTACATAAAAAAAATATTTTTAGTGAAATTAAAAAATATTTAATAAAATTATAACTCTTCTTAGTAGTGTCTGCTCAGGTGCTCTGTATTTAATATGATTTAAATATATTACGATATGAACTAATTAAAATTAAGAAAAATAAATACACATATAATTTTTTGGTTCGAGCTCAAATTGATGATTTTTTGACCCGACTCAAATTGGAGCCCACTCCGCCACTGGACATCAAGTGATCTTTTTTAATTGTCAAGCCACAAATATTCTGTGTGATAGTATTATTTTATTTGACGTATGAAGCTGGCCAATAAAGATCCCTCTCCCAGTTCCCATCATTTGGTGAAAGGATAAATTTTTGGAACACAACTTTTAATCACAACAGGAAAAACAATGTTTTGAAAATACTCCCTCACAATTCGAAACAAAAATTGATGGATAGCCTTGGCCTACTAGAAAATTAATTATATTTATAGCAGATAATACGATTAGGTTAAGGGTTTTATAAGAATTATGTTGTTGGAAAAATGATTGTGTTATGTTTTAAAGATTCGTTTTGCGTGCCGTAATTTTTTTTCCTTTAAAACATGCGGGTCCCACAAAATATTGTGTGTGTAGAAAATTTTTTGTGGTCATGTTAAATGATGAATGCAAAACCAGTTTATGCATGTTTTGAAAAAATTATCATTTTTCCTCCTTTCTCAAATTATATATCTATATGTTATTTCTTAAATTATTTATTAATCTATCTTTATTTGATCCGACACTTTATTTACTCAAATAAATGACTTACCTTAAAAAGGGAATAATTTAAAAAATACGACTTACTTGTCTTTATTTATCAATGGCTAGGATTTGGTCAAAATTTGATCAAACAAAATAAATTAGTATATAGTTTAAAAGAAAGAACATATTTATTTATAATTTGAAAAGGAAATAAATTGATAAAAAAAACTTCAAAACAAGGACAAAATCATCAATCATATTTAAAAAAGGGGAAGGATATTGTGACAACCAAGTCGTGTTACTACCAAGTGACTACCAATCAATCTCACCGTTAGATCGATTATACTGATCCAACGGTTATATTTATTTCCATCTTTGTATGGTCATGATTCCCCATATTTAAAGTGACAACATTAAATATGAGAAATCATAACCATACAAAGGTGAAAATAAATATAAAGTATTAAATTTGGGGAATCATGACCATACAAAGATGAAAATAAATATAACCGCTGGATCAACATAATCGATTTAACAGTGAGATTGATTGGTAGTCACTTGGTAGTAACACAACTTGGTTGTCACAATATCCTTCCCCTTTTAAAAAATAAGGCCGAAGCCAGAAAATATTTTTGGGAAAAGTGTGTATCATTTTAAAGGATGTAAAGTTGTGTCATTTTAGGTAAGAGAAAGAGATAAATAAAGAAGGAGAGAGAATGAACAAAAAATATAAAGGTGTGGGTCCCATCTCTTTGTGAGAGTGAAATTAATGACATAAATTGTATTATTTAAAAGGACAAACACTTTTCCCAATATTTTTTTGACATTCCAAAACCACTATCCTATGACAGCAATAGCGGAGTGGTGTCTAATTAAACGGATCAACATCAATGTGTAAGCATATAGTCTATATTCCACCGAAACTGACACAAAACACGAGATACGACAAGATACGATATGCTGACACGTTAATTTTAAAAAATATTGTATTTCGATAAATTAGGACACGTTTTGATATTAAATAATATTTTTAATATATATAATATAATTTATGTTTAATACATATAACAGTTCATAATAAGTCATATAATCAATTAAATATTCAAATTCCATAACATAAATATAAAACAAAAGTAATTTTTGATATATTGTTAATTTTTTATGTCAAATTCCATAACAGAAAAAAATTGACTTATAAATTATTTTTATTTAGTTAATAAAATAGAATTTAGACCTAAAAAAACGTGTCGGAGCTTTGACTGTATGTCAGAAACACGTGTCAGAACATGTCAAAATGTTGATCGCGTGTCCAAAAATATTAATCGCGTGTCGGAACGTGTCGATGTTCAACACGTGTCCGACACACAAATTTTTTTAAAAAAGGCATAGCAATATATTTATAGGAAAACCATTCTCTTATGTCGTAGGAGAAAGCAATCTCCTACTTCTCACTCTTTGATTCTTGTGTCATATCTTTCTTTTCTTTTTTAACAAATGTGGATCCCACCACATCTTGAATCTACAATATGAGATATCTCATCTCCAACAACACGAGAAAACAGAGACTAGTTATATGGCAGATTTATGACTCTGAACATCGACTTCATTATTAGAATACTGTTTTATGCAAGAGGTAACCAGAATATTGATATTACAAGAAATGAAACAGTATTTAGCTAGGAGGCACAACAATATTTGTGTAATTGAACAAGAATTTGTTTGCAATATACTGTAAGAGTTTCTGGTCTTCCATATAGGCCTAAGATTGAAAATTACAAAATCCAGCTTCATGTGACTGCAGTCCCAGTAAATCCGAATGAAAATCTTACTCCGAAAAATATGATTGAAATTGAAAAGATTAATGTTGAAAGTTACTATCAACGTTGACTGCTGAGGCCAGTAGCCAGGCTTGGACTAAAAAATATTGGGAATGGAATCTCCCATTAAAAATTTTACATGACTTGGTTATTTTTAATTTTTGTTTTTATTTCATTCTTCATTAATGATAGTTGGATCCTACTTATTTAATATATGTAAAAAGATATATAGACATAAAATTTCACATACCAAGTCATCTGAATTTTTTTTTTTTTTTTTTTTTGATATCAAGTCATCTGAAATTTTAATATGAGAGGATTAGCCACCAACCAAGATGCTCACCATCACCCTAGTTATTGGAATCACACGATTACATACAATTTATCAAGCCAGCAATTCAGATCTGTGTAATACATACATGAATATATATCATTCTATATAACTGATACAAATTGCTCATACAATTCAATTTTTTTTTTTTATGATTTTCTTTTATCAATTCTCATTTTTTTTTTTTGAAAAGTCAATTAAAATGAAGTTTTTAAATAACAAAAATTAAAAAATGCTATTAAATACATCTTATTTGATTTTTTTCAATATAACATTTTCATTCTTCTAAAATAAGGACTTCACAAAATTAATCATTCCATGTGTCCTATTTGGTTATTCCATTATAATTTTTCATTTTTCTGGAACAGGTGTTTCACATCACTCGCTCACTTTATATGCACCTTATTTGAATATATCAGTTTTCTATTTTCATTCTTGTGAAACATAAACTTCATGCAGTCACTTTACGTGACTCGCTTATGACTTATGACTTTGTGTTTTGAGACGTATGATTAAGTTGTTTTGTCAATTTCTAAATTCTAGTTTAAAGTTTATGACATTGAGCATTATACAATATTTAGATGATATAAAAGAATAAAAAAGATTATACTCATAGTATCAAGACCAAATGGCCGGTGCCCATTGCAGTGGTTAACATTGGCTGTTTGAATCCCAAAATCGAAAGTTTGATCCTTGAAAATAACTTTGGCCTTTACCAGACCCAGGTCAAATTACAAAAAACAATGTATATATCCCCAAAAAAAAAAAACAGAGAATGTACTAAAATTAGTTAGGTAGGTGGGTTTTGGCTTTTTATTTTTGTTTTTGAAATCACAGGAAGTTCAAATTAAGGGAGGCCTACCCTTACATAAGGTCAGGAAAAACTATCAATCTCTTTAAGGATTTAAAATGGGATTATATATTATCTACCAAAAAGAAAAAGTTAAAAATCAAACCTAAACCACGATATTGGTCATAATGGTATTTTTTTAATATGAGCTAAGAGTGCTTAGTGAGAAACGAAGTGCTCCTTGGCAAAAGGAGTTTATTCTTGTATATTTTATAACATGATGTTTTTGTAATAATAGTAAAAATAATAAAGCCAATAATAAAGATAATTTTATCCATAACTCGTGGGATCCATGTGAGGTCATGTAAAGAGAAAAGAGAAAAAAAAAAAAAAAACATAAACCCATTTCTGCAATAAAAGCAAAAATATTTTTCCTGTCATTTAATAGTAATAATATTTGCAAATTTGTGGATAAAATTTATTTTGTAGATAGAAAAAAATGCCCTTGAAGTAGAATTATAGCATTTTGAGCTTCAGCAAGAAATGGAAAGCCAATTATTTTACCCTTTTATTAATAGAATGATTACAACTACCGTAAGAGCTTTTTCAACTATGAAATATTTAAAAGAAAACTTCAAAATAAAATGAGAGCCTACTTTCTTAATGATTTTTTATTAGGTACATTAAAAAAATTGAATAGAAGATTTGTACGCATAATGGGGATGGAGATATAAGCGAGGTGGACTTAGAGGACGCGTGTGATGATATGAATAGAAGATTTGTACGCAGAATTAATACACATGAAGTTAAGGAGGCTTTAAAGAGGATGAAGACTAATAAAGCCTTAGGGTCTGATGGTGTCCCTATTGAAGTGTGGAGAGGCCTGGGGGATGTGGCAATAAAATGGTTGACCAATCTTTTTAATAAGATTCTCCAGACGAATAAGATGCCTGATGTATGGAGGAAAAGTATGATTGTGCCTATCTACAAAAACAAGGGAGATATACAGAATTGTTCAAACTATAGAGGCATTAAGCTAATGAGTCATACTATGAAGTTGTGGGAGAAGATTATTGAACATCGCTTGAGGAGAGATACCAAGGTTTCTGTAAATCAATTTGGATTTATGTCAGGAAGATGTACCATGGAAGCAATTTTCTTGATGCGACAACTAATGGAAAGATACCGAGAAAAGAAAAAGGACTTGCATATGGTGTTCATAGACCTTGAGAAAGCATACGATAGGGTTCCAAGGAAAGTTTTATGGTGGGTCCTGGAGAAGAAAAAGGTTCCATTAAAGTATGTAAAGGCAATCAAGGATATGTATGATGGGGCTACTACATGTGTAAAAGCTTGTAACGGATCATCAAGTTATTTTCCTATCACGGTAGGTGTACACCAAGGGTCGGCTCTAAGTCCTTACCTCTTTGCCTTAGTTATGGATGAACTAACAAAAGATATTCAAGAGGAAGTGCCATGGTGTATGCTTTTTGCAGACGATGTTGTGCTTATTGATGAGAGCAAGGAGGGTGTTAATAGAAAACTTGAATTGTGGAGAAGCACATTGGAATCCAGAGGATTCACATTAAGTCGAAGCAAGACTGAGTATCTGAAGTGTGAGTTTTCTCTGGTACGAGATGGGGACCAAGAACCTGTGCATCTAAATGGTCAAGAGGTACCCAAAAAAGATGCTTTTAAATACTTGGACTCCATTTTACAAAACGGTGGAGAGATTGATGAGGATGTAAATCACAGAATCAGAGCAGGGTGGATGAAATGGCGCAGTGCATCTGCATTTTTGTGTGACCGCAAAATCCCCCTGAAGTTAAAAGGAAAATTCTATAAAACGGCAGTAAGACCGGCAATGCTATATGGAGCAGAATGCTGGCCAGCACATAGGCAACATGAGCATAAGATGGGAGTAGCAGAGATGAGGATGTTAAGGTGGATGTGTGGTTACACAATGATGGATAAGATAAGAAATGAAGATATTCGACGAAAGGTCGAAGTAGTACCGGTAGCCGAGAAGATGAGAGAACATAGATTGAGGTGGTTTGGGCACGTGATGAGAAGACCCATGGATGCTCCTGTAAGAACAGAAGTTTGTTACCAAGAGCTCAACACAAAAAGAGGCAGAGGTAGGCCGAAGCTTACTTGGGGGAAAGTAGTAAAACAAGATTTAATGGAGTGGGATATAGATTGGCGGACAGTATGTCTTAGAACGGAATGGAGAAAAGCTATAAGTATGGTGGAGGGTTAGATCCGCTGTTATTCCTATGTTCCAGATGGTCCCTTTTTAGTCCTTTTTCCCTTCATTTCCCCCACTTCTTCTTGTCCCTTTCTTTTTTACTTTTATTTATTTATATATACATATATTGTTATTTTATTTTATCTTATTTTATATTTTTATTTTATTTGTTTATTTTTATTTATTTATTTTTGGCTTTTTTACTTTTTAACTTCTTCTTTTTTTTAACTTTTTTTTCAACCGTTTTGTATCTTTCATGTGGGTTCATCTACCACCGACCCCAATTAATTTGGGATAAAGGTGTTGTTGATGTTGATGTTGACATTAAAAAAATTGAATTTTAATACAAATTCAATTATAGAAGAGTTTAACAATATACAAAAACATAAACAGAAATTAACTAATCTTGATTTCTGTAACAAAACTCTTTCAAACTTTTATATTAAATTTATATTGTATTGTAAGTATTTTTATATCTTTTATTTTTGCCCTCATCACAAAAAATCTTGACTCTACCACTGTATGAAAACCCGAGCTGTAATAAAAATGATTTACAATTCACGATTAAAAAGTTAACTTAGCTGATGTCGATTGCTGTTTGATAACTTTGATGACAAGCGATAGAGGACTAATTCAAAATAATTCATTCTTGGGTTTGATTGTTAAATAATTGGGTTGACAATAAATGAAAGAACACTGAAACTTGGTCCGTAAATTGCAGATGTATTCTGCTACAAACCTAAAATATAACCAGCAGCTGCCAAGAACGAATTAATCTACACACTCTTCCTGGACTTGGCCATCTGTAGAAGCAGAAAAAACTTAGGAAAGTTGAATACAAGCAAATACACATGAATATATGCGTGCATATTAAAAGCTGAAGAAATATTAAAGATTCTGAAAGCCTCACCAGCAAGATTGATGGCCAAATTTGCTTGAGCATCAGCCTCGGAGTTGAAGTTCTTGACAAGGGAAACATAAAGTTATTTTCAAAGAAACGCTTAGATAAAAGCATCAGGAATAATCTTATTCTTGCACAAATATAAGATTTAAAAACGGAAGCTCTTATCCTAAAACAAAATCTCAAAGGAAAGAAGGGATTTTTACACAAATGATTCCTTGAAGAGAAAACCAAAATATTTTTTAAAATAAATAAAATAAAATAAATTCAGGACATGGTTGAGTTTAGAACGCCTGTTTATGGAATAGAATTAGCATATAGGAAATAATGCCCCATCAAGTCATCAACAAATTGACATTAAGAAGACAAACTAAACGAGAAAAGGGATGTTGCGTTTATAGTATTCAATTAAACAGTTCTGTATCACTAAGGAGACAATATATAATCCTTCATCTCATTGATTTTTGAGTATTAAATACTTAATAGGATGGCCCCTCGGGTCGAACAGGTTCCTGCAATTCATGTGTTTCACACAGACAAATTTTTAAAGTAAGGAGACAATATATGATCCTTCATCTCATTGATTTTTTAGTATTAAATACTTAATACGATGTCCCCTTGGGTTGAACAGGTTCCTGCAATTCATGTGTGTTTCACACAAACAAATCTTTGAAGGGGACAATCGCTCCCTTAGGAGATTACAGAAGGCATTACCTTGTCGCATTTTTTCATCACTTTTACTGCAAGCACTTCTTTCACATTAAGGCATTCAACAAAAATTGCTAATATAAAAACCAAAAAAATTCCATATACACCAACAGCTTAGAAAAATGTACCTACCCTAAGAACATGACTGATATGGAATGACAAAAAATTATCCTTGAGTTCTTTTGCCACCTTATACAATGTAGATAAGTTCTCGTTCTTGACCTTCCATGAACCATCAATCTGTTTCATGCAGTAGCACGAGAAAATTGAAGTGAAACAAACTGTAAATAATAGAAATCACTGACCAAATACTTGCAAATGAAACAAGATTAGAAACTAAAATGTACATAGATTAAATCGGATGCTTTTCCTGTATTTCGTTGGTATTTTTCAAGCGCAAATTACAGTTTCCTATTATGTGGTTTACCCCGAATTACTTTGCTCCCATGTGGCACATATAATATCTCACTTTATTACCCGGGGCTTATTCCATTATTGCATCCCGTATGGTACAAATTGGAATGAAATGAGTTCAAAGTGTAATCATGTGTCAGTGCCAATAAGTCACTCACATGCAGCTAACTGTTGCAAAATGGACGGGAAAAAACTTCAGGTAAGTATGTGATGATGGTATGAAGCAGAGGGTGGTAAACTGTCAATTTATACACCACTAGGAGACAAAGTGATTTCACATCAAACCACGGGTGGAAGCTGTAATTTATCCTATTTTCATTCCGTAAATTCAATATTAGATGATAACTCAATATAGAGATGAATGATGACTCTTACGTTTTTTGTTGGAAAAAAATTCCCAGAAGAAAAATTTGATAATTTCAATCACCTTTGTCAAGTTGGTTCCAAGCTACCTCCAACATTAAAGTAAATACGTCATAACCATCCTAAATTTGCTTTCTAAGTATTTTGTGATTTTTAAACTTGGGGTTATCAAAACTAGCAAGCCAAGCATACCTAGGATTCAACCCAAAAATGTAGAGATGGGACTTAATTTTGGCATATCATTATGGATTTGATTTTATGTGGGTTGATTTAATCTTATTTATGGTTATATATTGTTGACTTTTGCCTCATTGCAATTCCCTGTGACAAGAACCATCATTAGCGTAGAAGAGACAATCAGCTTACCAGTATTGAATATAATTATGAATGATTTATTATTACTATCTTTCGAATTTTCACTCATATCCTATACTTTGTTAAGACGAGAGTCCTATCATGTTTACAATCTATTTAAATTTTAAAGGCTAAAAGGCATAGATGGGTTGACAGTAAAGGCTATATTAATTGCTGAGCGGAGCAATTTTTTTTAGGTTGCAAAGGAGGTGCTATAACCTGGTGAGGGGATGGGAAAAGGTGGGCTCAAAATGAGTATTGAGACTCAGCGGAAATGAAACCTGACATCAAGTGCTTCCCAAGGAAGCTGGGTGCCACTAGGCTACAAGGCCATTGGCAAAGAGGACAAAGTATTTAAAAATACTCTTCTGGGTCATCTCTCAAAGTGAATCAAGTTTATCACAATACAGGTTTTATTTTAAATATAGTTCTCACATATTTGTTTAAATCAAAGAGAAGGAAAAAGAACAACTAGACACAATCTGAAGAAACAACAAAAATATACAATAACAAAATGTAACAATTTTAAGTGGAGGGAGCGGGAGATGTCACTAAACATTTAATCATGTTAGAATAACGTAGAGTGAAGAATAAAAAATGGCCAACCTGCATGCAAACAAGTTTGGAGTCACCTTGGATATGAATACCAGTAAATCCCTTTTTAAGAGCATATTTCATTCCCAATATCATTGCACGATATTCAGCAGCATTGCATGTTGCAATACCCGCACCTTCACGCAACCTACAAATCTTTAAGGTAATAATAGTTAAAGAGATTAATAGTTGTACGCAAATGATGCATAGATACAGAAATATCATATACCAAACGTCCATCATTAGCTCGTAGAATAGCCCCAGCACCAGCTTTTCCAGGATTTCCTTTTGATGCACCATCAAACTCAAGAATACAAGTCCGCTGCACAAGGATAAATGACTATAAGGACTAGGTTTTACAGGTATATCGAGATCTAAAATGTAAAAACATCAAATAAGCATATTAAACGTAAATAATTAATCAAAATATTTCATTCAAGACTCTAGGATACAACTCAACACTAGCAACTAGAGAGCCCTCCAGTGATCACCCTATAAAACTTGAGTCTGTAATTAAAATGAAGAGTAGGAAATAATGTCACTAGCCCAGCTTGTCACCCAATATTTTAGGTCAAAATGAAAGGAAATCCCTTCAATTATAAGTCAATTGCACAAAACCCCCTGTGATTCAAAACTCAGCAACTTGACTCCTCAAACTTATCAAACAGTGCAATTGACTCACTACAAGGTTATTTTCCACAAATAAATGATGGGTTAAACTTACAGTGCTCTACATGGTTAAATTTTCCCAATATTATTGAGATCGTACCAATCATCATTTTTCTTTCTGCAATTGACCTATAATTGGAGGAGGTTATGTTCACTTTAGCCAATACTTTGCTCAACATCCTCAATGAGCAATGACAGGACCAGAGTAGCCCCGACAGCAGCATTGCAGCACCTCCATTTGACCATCTCATAAAACTTGACTTAACAGTCAAAAAGCAAAGCAACAAATAATGTGATTGGCCCTAACTATCACCCATTATAGTTTACTGATTAAAATACTCATGGTTAAATGACAAATCCTGCATATGGAGCAGATGTAGCAATGGTTGTTTATGAAATAAGGGTAGCCTCAAGCAAACATATTTTTGCATGCATGAGCATTAGGATGGTTTCCACTTACAGTATCAAGTGAAGGTGCTTGGGCTAGCTTGACTTGCTTTCTCAAGGGATCTTCAGAGATGGATGTCAGACTAGTTATATTCTGCTAAGCAAATAAAGATATGTCTCAATATATTAAAACGTTTTCCATAAAAAAAAGTTTGGATAGTGCTTCCAGTTAGGAAGAGTCAACACAAAAAGAAAGGATGACAGATACTTCCCTGAAGAAGCACTGATTGAAGTAAAAACAACTGGTTTACAGATATTTCACAACTTAGATCCACAACATTTTCTCATGTCGCAATTGACATTAGACTCTTGAATGGAGGTTCCGTGACTGAAAATGCAAGTGAGTGTAGCATCTGATGCAGCTGATAATCCCGTAGTACCTTTATTACGTTATTACCAAACAATGACTCAAGCCTTTTAATAAGTTAAACTTTTACAAACATACACAGCACTACCAATCACACTTGACTCTTTATTATTATATAGTTACACAAGTGTATAATGTTTCACAAACATTATAAGATTCAATGCCATGCAAGAATCCTATGCAATCAAATATAACATAAAGTTAGGAACACAGTTGAAAGAATACAAGGTAAGAGACATGGGAGAGGTGTCATAAGCATATTACATCTCAGATATATGAAATAATAAGGAAATTACATATTTTTCCCAACATGAAAGTGATGACAAATTGATAATTTATAAAACAACTGTCAAATATAGCATCTTAGTAAACAGATATATAATCCCTGGATCTTTTCCTTCTTGATTAGCATGCTGTGGTTTCAAATTGTGCTGAACTTACCACATTATCTTCTCCAAGCACTCGCAGAGATCTCTTTTTAGATACATCCTTATTTGATGTGCCCCCTTGGGTAGAAGAAGGATCCTGAGACATACATAATAAATCTTCTTATTTGCTTGATTCACAAACCTCAAACTTCTTTAAAGGGAGTGAACTTATAGTGGTCCGGGACCAAGAAAAATAGTGTAGGACTGAGGTGAGAGAAAGAGAGAAAAAGTTGAGGAGAGAGGAGGGAGAAAAAATAAAAAATAAAATTTAATACAGGTGTCAATTTTTGAATGGAAGGAGCACGGTGATTCGAGAGCATATTAAAAAATTCCCTTTAAAGGGTATTTAGAGGGTATCTTGAAGAAAGCATAAGCCAAGGGAACAGAAATGTGACAGTTATAGTATAGAATACTATCTTTATCAGAAAAAAAGTAAAATTAATATAAAATACTATTACCTGCTAAATAGTTCTTTATGATGTAAGCACAAAACGGGTTTTATAAATTTGTAATCAAGAATGAAAGGAACCTAGTTATTAAAAATTGAATATGCATTGGAACATGTTTAAAGGATTCTATATATAAGATTGTCTTGCAAGAATATCAAACAAAAAAAGGAATTATTCCCATCAATCACCAATGCTCTGCTAATATGAATGAAAAATATATTTTTACATTATCTGAAAGCATATTATGTTATAAATTCAGATTAATCTGCATTGAGAATTAGTAAACATCTTCAACTCGTGGTTAAGGATGTGGATATTGTGAATCAAGGATATAAACTTATTGTAGATAAGAAATACTAGTACTTCTGGAAGTTAATATAAATTTCCAGAGAACTAAATATCTTCAACTCAAAGCTAACGGTAACCTTTTCCCATGCTATTTTTTGACAGATGATGCATTCATAAAAAAGAAGAGAAAATTCAATGCATTGCAACAATTATTTACCTGGAAAGGGCAAGGAACAAGCATGCCAAACAAATCCTCTTTTAAATCAGCAGCTCTAATTGTGTATAAAGCATTCTTTAATCCGTGCGAGACAAGATACTCCTCAGTGTCCTTCGACAACGAATATCCCTTGTATACACTAACAGGAGGATCACATACCTACGAGGTGACACAGAAGGAAGCATTTATTTAGCCTACCACAACAAAAAAACACCACAATGTTGAATTTTGAATAACCTAAAAAAAAAAGGCAACTTGAATTTTGAATACTAACAATGGAAAATCATGCTCACAAAGATCAGAAATATAATGGCTGTCAAACAGACCACTCTACAGTTTCAATGAAACATTTTTCTCACCTTCAATTTTGATAACCAATAAAAATTCAAAAGTCACAAATGCTTAAGCACGTTAATACTTCCAACATATTATAAACAAGACAAACAAAACCAAAATCAACAACAAAACACTATATTATAGGTTTCCGGAGAGAATTACAGAAGATCCAACTTGAGCCTGGGAATCACTGAGATTATTGTAGATTCCAACAACGTCCCCTTTCCTCACCACAAAGAAAGCATCCTTCTCCTGCTCCATCACCGCTTCAGTATCCACCTTCTTCAACCGAGAAGAACCACTGTTGCGCGCTTTTTTGGTCGAATAGCACCGAACACGAAACTGAGTAAGCACGAATTCTGAATGGAAAGACCTAACACCACGATTCTCTGATTTTCTCGGAAAAGAGCAAGTGGAAGAACATCGGTGCAGAGAGCAGTTCGCGACGAATCGAGAGGTCCTTCCGATTATGGCAGCAGTGTAAGATGACAGTGGCGACAAGCGGTTCATGACAAAGAAGAGTTCTCCAGATTGACCGGATACCCCGCGCGCAAAATCAGTTCCTGTTTGGTTGCTGAGAAAGTGGAGGAAAATGCATTGTGGAATCGACGGTTAACTCGGAAAATTAAGTGGCTTGTGAAACCGCACCAGTTACTCGTTGAAAGTGAAAGAAAGACAAGAGTGAGTGAGGGGCGTTGAGGTTTATGGATTGATTTTTGGTACCCATTGTTATTCGGGTCAGGTTTTGATTTTGGAGCCCCGAAGCCCGTATCCAAATATTTAAGAAAAGATGGCCCAAAGAACTATGCGACACATGCGAAAAAATTTAACAGGCCCATCATTGTAAATGAAAATTTTTCTTCTATTTCTACCCTTTTTTTTTTATTTTTCCCCTCTCTGTCCCTCTTTTTTTCTATTTTTGGGAGGGACCACCATGGTCCCGTCTCACAAAAAATCTTCTCCGCCTATAAGGATATATTGAAAGCATTTTTTATTTTTCTTTGGAAGATAGCTTTTAAATTGGGTAATATTATTCTAATGTTACGTGAGATAAATTTTTTCTTATATAGTCACAAATTAAGGGTAGGGTCCATTCGACATTTTTCTCTCTTTTTTATTCTCTTTTCTTTAAGTTGTGAGTGCATGAGAGAAAAATTCTCTCATCTAACATATATAAGAGTAATATTTTCCTTGTAAATTTTATCAAAAATAATAGTTATAACTGTACAAACCTGAGACCGGATGAATATTTAAATTATGTTAAACTAGCTGCTATAAAAAAATGGTCAGCAATAATCAATGTAGATTTAATCCCAACAGAAATGAACTCATCACCTTTAGCCAAGTAACGAAGTTTGAAGTGGTTAACTAAATTATTCAACACAAGCAAATGATCTTTTACAAATTCACAAATAACGTATCATATATATTTCTCACCTGAACAATGAAATGTAATACATATATCAGCCTAAACTAACTCAATCATTCATTTTTATTTTATTTTGGGTGGGATAGGTTGAACTCAAATTACATCTTCTTCTTTTTTTTGTAATTACTTTACATCTTTACATTTGAGGTTGAAATCCCATATAGATTTTGTAGAGAAATATATAATTTAAAATATAAAATTATTAATGTATCTTCACCTAACAGCTTCAATTTTAACATTAAAATGGTTCTTTGTATGGAATTATAGCCTCTAACTAATAGTTCTACAATTTTCAATTTATTTGGCAGGTATCAAGCATACTTGAACTCTAGCTACATGGAACAACTTCCAGAGTTGCAAAGGTTCACGGCAATGGATAGTTCAATGTCAAATTGTAGGTCTTGCAAGAAGGAGAAGCAAACACTTGGCCAATCATAACTATTTTTGTGCATTGTTTTTTGTTTAAAGGTAGAAGAAGGAAGACTGTAGAATATGGTAAAAAAATTAATAAATAAAATAAAATAAAAAAAACATGACTAGATCGTAGCATTTTATTTATATTTTTTTTGCAAGTCTCTTACAAGCATTTTTGTACGATTACCCTTTGGACCTGTGGCAACTACGAGCCCATTCCAACAATTGACTTTTAGAAGACTTTGATTCTCTCCTTAAACTTTGAACAAAAAAATCATATTTGAATTCACAAGTCGTAAAGAATAATGAACTAAATTACATAAAATGAACGCCATTCTCTATAGACATCACTTAATAAAAAGAAAATGAAAAAAAGAGAGTCTCCGTTACCCATCACTTAAAATGTTTTATTCATACATTGACATGAAATATAAATAGAGGTGTTCAAAATGTCCAAAAGAACTAAATCGATCCATAATCAAACTGCTCCACGTTTTAAAAATCGGTTTCATATGAAACCACATTTTATTTTATAAATTGGTTATTTACCAAACCATAAAAATAATTGGTTATCCATGGTCAGGGGTGAAAGTGGGCTGGGCTGGGCCAAACTTTGCCCCGAAAAGCCCAAGCCTACGTCAAAAAATTTTAATTTTGCCTGGCCCAAGCCTATTATGAGTCAAATTGTTAGCCTAACTTCGCCCGTTTATAAAATAACAAATGGCCTGACCTAGCCCATTAGCCTGTTAATTTTTAACTTCAAGCAGAACCATGAATCAACTTTACAAAATACTCAAATTCTGTTGCTAAATCAAAAATCATAATTTCAACGTCCAAACAAAATCATAAATCACAACAACACTCATACAATCTGCATTTAAATCACTTTCGAAAGCAAAATGTTCAAACTAAATAACATATATTTCATCAGATCCAACAAACAAATCCATACTATGTAAATTAAAATAACTACATGATTCCAACAAACACATCATGATGCTTGTAGTAAGTATAACATCTCCTAAAATCTTTTAATATATTCATATACACAATCTAACAGGCTTTTTGACCCTTTTGTCCCTCATTAAATAATTAATAACCAATTTGCCCCTTCCCCAGAACTATCCACCATCATGCCCCCATTTAGTCGATTAAGTTGCACTTTTAATCGACTAAATGGGCAAAACTCAGAAATCATGAAACGCGAAATTTAGTAGACTAAATACTCACATTAATCGACTACATTCGTTGCACTTTTAGTCGACTAAGTCCATTATTTAGTCGACTAAATGTCGCAGAAAACCCTATATCCAGACCTCTCTCCGTCTCATTTTCATTATATTCGAAATCAAAACTCCTCTTTCTCTTGTTTGTCAACTGTGATCCTTCCAATCACCCTTCCATTTCATCCCACCACCTCTAAGGCATAATAATTGTGAAATCATTGTCATTTCCCTTTATTTCTCAATTGTTTCCCTCAAATCCGAAGCCAAAACCCTAAAATCTGATTCCTACCCCCAAAATTCGTGTGAAAGATGAGCTCAAGTCCAAACATGTATGTTACCATGATTTACTATGATGGAAAGCATTATGAAGGCCCCAACGGTGTTCAATTTGAAGGAAAAACGAAAATGTTGAAAATCAAACGGGGCACTACGTACAATGAGCTGAAAGGGAGGATTCACCAGAAATTGGGGCTATACGGCAGCCATGGCGTTCAACGGATGATTGCCAGGGTAGAGTCTACAGTTGGTAAGGATGCTATATTCTACATTGGTAATGATATATGTGACGATGAAGATGTGGACTGTGTCATAGATGCATTTGGGGACCGAAAATTTCAAAACTTTATTGAGATATATGTTGAAATAGACTGTGGTCAATCTTCATCTGCACCTGTGCATGGAAGAAGTCAAAGTCAAGAAGACAGAGTGGTCGGATTATCTGCACCTGCACCTATCTTAAGTCAGATAACACTGAGGGAAATAGACGAGGATGAGGATGAGCATGACGAGGATATGGACAGTGAAGACGATGGTGAACCCGAGAGTGTTATTCCGCTGGGTGACACCTCAGATACGGACATAGAGGGGAATTTTGACGCTGATACTAGTTCAGGAAACTTGAGTTCCCAAGTTATGCCACCACTCCGTGTTGACCCTGTTAGCAGTGGTAAGATTGTACATTAAAGTTTTAATTTTGCATATATATATATTTGTGTTTTCTTTCGTACTGACGGATAAGTTTAAATTTGGACGTAGGTTCTGAGATTGAGCCATTTTGGAACGACAGCCCACACTATTCCTTCATTAATTGGGCTCACCCTAATGATGAGACGGAGATATTGTATGGCGACGATGACATCCACGGTGGCTGGCATTTAGGGGATCCATTATATTTGTACCAGGAGTTTCGAACTAAATCTGAAATGCAACATGCAGTCAAATTATATGTATGAAGTCTCATCGTACTGCTGTGGTGGCAAAAAGTGATGACCATAGATTTGTGATGAAGTGTCGACACCATAATGATGGTTGTCCCTGGTACGTGCGGGCTATGTTGCCCAAGAATGGAAATAGTTGGGTTGTTAGTAAGTGGGGTAAAAAACACACCTGCCTAAACCAAGGCCTTACTCGGGACCATAGACAGCTGGATTCTAATGTAATTTGTGCAGCCATTATAAGTATGTATTACAGAATTTTTGTTTATGGTTTAATTTTTCGGTATATTTATTGACTGTGTTGACTTTGAATTTTGTATAGGTATGTTAAAAGAAGATATATCCACGAAACCAGTTCTTATTCAGGAGAGGGTACAAAGTTTGTATGGATACAACATATCTTATAGGAAGGCTTGGAAGGCTAAAATGAAGGCCATTGTGAAGTTGTTTGGCGACTGGGAAAAATCATATGCCATCTTACCTGGTTGGCTGACCTACATGACACAGATTAATCCTGGTTCTGTGTTCAAGATTGATACGGACTAGTGTTGTGACGAACGACGTGTCTACACCGATAAGGCTATCTTTCGCAGGGTATTTTGGACTTTTCACCAGTGCATTGGGGCTTTCAAATATTGTAAACCCATAATCCAAATTGATGGCACGCACCTGTACGGGAAATACAAAGGTACCCTCTTGATTGCTACGTCACAGGATGGTGATGGATTCATTCTGCTATTGCGTTTGCCATTGTTCCACCGGGTGAGAGATTGGATGATTGGTTGTGGTTTCTTAGCCAGATGCGTTTCCATGTCACACGTAGGCATGGTATATGTCTAATATCCGATCGTCACCCCAGCATCATCAGGGCTGTGAAGGATCATGCCGGTTGGCAGCCTCCATTTGCGTATCACGTGTTTTGTCTTTGTCACATTGGAAGCAACTTTAACACTAAGTTTAGGGACGTGGAACTGAAGAAAACGCTGATGAAACTAGGTAAGCTATTTTCATGAATGTGTACATGTTGTATGTAATGATGTTTATGTATAACTCATTCAATTTGGGTTCATTTTTTGCAGGTTACATGTGTTCGAAGATTCACTTTGATTTAAGATTTCAAGAATTTGTCGACAGTAACCCACAAGTAGCCTCATGGATAGATCAGATTCCCAAAGAGAAATATTGCAGGTCTTATGATGAGGAGGGCCGAAGGTTTGGTCATATGACGACTAACCTATCTGAGTGTATCAATAAGGTCCTACGGGGTGCACGTAATTTGCCAGTAACTGCATTGGTCAAGATGACGCAAAGTAGAATTGTAGAGTATTTTGTGAAGAGGCGTTAAAAGATCAAAAAAGCAAAGGACAAA